ACTTAAGGGGGGTTAAATGAAATTTTAAAGTTTAGGGGGTTATCTCAAAATCAATGAGCGTTAATTGGGGTTTTGTGAAATTTACCCTAGGATAACAAAGGTAGCATTGTCAAAACTATTTGAGTATGCCATAACTAATACAGCTGAATTATTTCTGTTTTATTTTTCAATAGGTACCCTGAGGACCCTTATGATCGCCTCTGGGAACCCTATACATATTCACCCTACTGGACTTCAATATCCACCACCTTCAATGTCGAAAATCCTCCAAAGGATGTATTTGAGGTTCCTTCCTCAGTTCTACAGACAGCAGTAATGCCAACAAATGCCACCAGCTTGAAATTCTATTGGGATGCTATAAGGGAAAGGGACGGCACATTTTCTCAATATCATCTTTTCATGCACTTTGCTGAAATACAGTCCAATGCTTCAAACAGAACAAGTATCTTTAATGTTCACTTAAATGGAGATCTCTGGGATGGCCCTTTCGCTCCGAACTATCTTTCTAGTGGCCACATTTACACTACTACACCTGGATCACTGTATCAGTACAATATATCGATCAACCAGGCTAACACTTCTGTACTACCTCCCATCCTTAATGCTGTGGAGATCTATTCCTTAATCAAACTCAAAGAATTGGCAACTGACTTCAGGGACAGTAAGTTATTTCGTCTCATTTCTGTTTCTCTATATCTACCTTAGTTTGTAGTACCATGCTGTGACTGTGGAGTAGGTTCCATCCTTCATATTTTCTTGGATGTTTTGGATTTTTTTTATGTAACCACTGTCCATCTATGTAAATTAGATGTCATTGCATTAAGGGTTCAACTAGATTTTAAAAAGATAATATGATATCAAAAAAATGCTCAAAAGAACTGAACAAGCATTGGAATGAGTTCATTTGCACCAGATGAGTTCTGCAGTGGATATTTCAATTATATAGATCACACCAAACTGTTTGAATCAAAGATTTGCATAGCCTACCACGCACTCTATTTCTATCTCTAATTTTTCATGTGCACCTGGTATTTATTAGAATAGTCTCAAGAAAGGGAATTGTGTATAGTAGTTTATATTGGTATATTGACAGGATATGGTATCTTTTACCCTTTTTTTACAGTAGTTTTGTATTTAAACATTTTTAACATGTGTTTTCTTTTTCCTCTTGAGCATATTTCCTCTATATTTATGTTATTAAACCATTCTTCCTGATTCATACTTGTTGGTGTCGGTTCTGGATTGTTAGTTGTTGCTATAATGGCAATCAAGGCACATTTTCAGATCAAGAGAAATTGGATGGGTGATCCATGCGCACCAAGAAATTTTGTTTGGGAAGGCTTGATTTGTAGCTATAGTATCTATGCCCCACCGAGGATCACAACTTTGTGAGTTATTCGAGCGCCTGACAATATGAAATTTTTTTGTTTAAACCTTTTGGACACGAGGCATTTTCTTATAGATTGAATTATTCTGCAGAAACCTTTCATCCAGTGGGCTTACTGGTGAAATACCTGCTACTTTGGCAAATCTCAGTGAAATCAAGTATTTGTAAGTTTTGCAAATTTCATCCTTCTGCAATATGCATGAGCGTGTAAACTCTAGAAAGCAAGTGTAAGGAATGATGTTACTGAAAATTAGAGACATATTTGATTGAAGATCAAATAAGCAAGTATCATTTGGACCCAGGGATTGAACATTGAATGACTCAGCTGGATGAAATATTTATATAAAATCCTCAACTACGTACTTGTGCAGTAATCGTGCATTGCTGATTTCCTTTCAGGGATTTGTCTTACAACAATTTAACTGGGGAAATACCTGATTTTCTAGCTAAATTGACTTCTCTCCAACTTCTGTAAGTTTCCAGTTCAGAGATCCTAACCATCAATTGATTTAGTAAAGTATAGGAAAGCTGAAGTCAAGTATTTGCTTGCAGAATTTTGACAGGAAACCAACTCAATGGATCGATCCCTCCAGCGCTCCTCGGGAGATCCACAGATGGGCCTTTGATATTAAGGTTTGCTTTGTTTTCAACATATTCGGTACTTCCAACAAATTCAGTATCATCAAAGGAAACTTGTGTCGTCATTATTTTTTATTCTTTTGAATCTCATGCATATGGATTTTAACCTCCACCTGGGTATAACATTCCTATAAAAAAATCAGTTTGTGCCCATAAGCCGGATAATTCTTAACGCATTAGGTTGATTGTGCTGTTTTGTGTAGTTTCCTACTTTTTTCCGTCTCTGAAAAAAAACTCGCTGAGTGTTCTTCTGAAAAGAAACTTTCTTCTAATTCCATGGCGTATAAGAAACGTACTATTAATGCATTGGTTTTGGCTAACAATATGAAATGATACTGTGTTCCATATTCATCTTTCTTTAGTATGTAAGATATATGCATTTCATACAAAAAATTTCATCACCTCATGAACCTACAGTAAAAATAAAATATTAATAATTTTTTTAAATTCCAGTATTGAAGACAATTCTCCTCCATGTGATGTTGAGAATTCATGTAATAATAAGAAGAACATTGCACCCCTCCGCGAGATATTCTTGGCAACTGCCTTGCTACTCTCTCTCCTGATCGTATTCTATCTGCTGAGGATGAGAAAAAAGGAGAAAGGTAGCTCTTTACTGATAGAAATTCCTAGATTGTTTGTAATATACTGGTAATTCTTCTCCCACAAAATGAGTCACTTGTATGATGTATTTGATGCTTCTTTAGCAGAATTGGTTTCAGATACTATTGTAAAGCTCCAGAAGGAAGGCTCGCAGAAGGCTCCAATTCAATCTGAGAGTCGGCAATTTACATATGGAGAGTTGGAAAACATCACTAACAACTTCGAGCTACAGATTGGCAAAGGAGGTTTCGGGACTGTCTTCCATGGATATTTGGATGGCGGTACTCAAGTTGCAGTGAAGATGCGCTCTCAAACATCGTCTCAAGGCTCTAAGGAGTTTATGTGTGAGGTAAAACAGTTCCAGCTTCTTTATGTTTCACTGTAATATGTAGGGTTAATTGCGGACAGACCCCTTGTATGTTTTGAGCTGACTTCTCTTCTAGTTTTACTGTTGTAGATGGATCCAGAGTTCCAGAGTTTTTTTTTTTTTTTTGACTCTTTTACTCTCATATAAAGAGAATTGTTTTTGACAAATAGACCACCTGAGGATAAAAATGTAGTGTGTGCGCACAGGCGCGCGCGCGCGCGTGTGTATCACTCGGAGTATCTATCTGCAACAACAAAACTAGAATAGTAAGTTCAAAACAACAATAGTGCAGAGGGTCTATCCTACAACGGTAGGTCTTTGCTCTTTCTAGATGGGAAAAGACTCCAAAAATGAGAACGGTTATGATGTGGTCAAGTTGATTGCCGTGCAAGGTTTTAAGTGGTTGCCTTTCCAAGCCGATAACAATATGGTTTTTTGTGTGGCAGGCTCAACTCTTGACAAGGGTTCATCACAGGAACCTTGTTCCTTTGATTGGCTACTGCAATGATGACCACTACCTTGCCCTCGTCTATGAGTACATGTCTGAAGGAAGCTTGGAGGATCATATGAGAGGTTTTGCTGTTTGAACAACTTAATACTTTAAATTTTGTTTATGCTGTTGAACTTAAATTAAAATGAATTGTCTGCTCCCATATGGGGATGTTAGCATTTTTTGTACAATATTTCAGATCCAAAAGTTTGTATAGAATTTCACCACCAATCTTTTCCTGATTGTATAGAATTTCACCACCGATCTTTTCCTTTCCATGAGTGTGTGGCTCCGAATATCTCATTGTTTCAGTAATTCTACTGTAATTCTTGTCCTTAATCTGAAACTCTATCATGCACAACTGACTTCTAGACCTCTTTGAATCACTTAGAAAATACAACATTGCTAATGAAATTATCGGAATATTCACTCAGAAAGTTTTCTATAATTATGAGCATCATCTAAGGGAACAGAACACTAAAGAATAATGCTTGTTCCTTTACAGGTAAAACAGACAGTACCAGAGTCATAGGTTGGGAAGAGCGCCTAAGAATTGCCATTGAAGCTGCACAAGGTTTTGAAAGGCTATATTATTATTTTACCCTTTTCTTCTTTTCACCACATTTAAGTTGCTTTATTCGCTTATTCTAAGCATCTATCATTTAACTTGAAACAGGGCTAGAGTACCTGCATAAGGGATGCAAGCCACCAGTAATTCATAGAGATGTGAAGACCAGCAATATACTTCTGAGCGAGAAGCTGGAAGCAAAGCTAGCAGATTTCGGTCTATCGAAATCTTTTCACGAGTCCCTCACTCATGTATCGACAGCAGTGGTTGGCACTGTTGGCTACCTTGACCCTGAGTATGTCCCTCTCCTCCCTCCACTACTGGAACTCTACAGACTAACAAAAAACTAGTTACTCTCAGTGAAACAAAAAACTGAGTTCAACTGTACTAGCATGTGTGCATGGGAAAAAATCCTATAGAGGGCCCTCTATAGAAAACAACATATCCGTGAAGACACCCGATCTTAGTACGAACTTTGATGCACACATCACTAGCTATAGTGCAGTCACTAGTATCTGCCAATGCACAGTAACTCCACTGCCTGCAACTGCACTGATCGGGAATACTAACTATGCTAACAGATGATAGTGATGTGTGCATCAAGATCCATACTAGGCCAAGTATTTTCATCCATTAATATTATGATTTTCTATAGAGGGCCCTAGATACGACTTATTTTCCATGGATATTGAGCAATATCATGAGAAAAATGGTTTCTCTAGTAGAATCTACATAAGAATTGGGCTAGTTTGAACTTCTTTATCTCTTCATTATGTAGGTACTACAGTACTTTCAAACTTAGTGAGAAAAGCGACGTATATAGCTTTGGGGTAGTCCTTCTCGAGCTCATCACAGGCCAACGTGCTGTACTCCCGAGACCGGAGAAGTGCCACATAAGCCACTGGATGCGACAGAGGCTCGCTAATGGAAACATCAGTGATTTTGTCGATACAAGGATGCAGGAGGTGTATGATGTGAACTCGATTTGGAAAGTGGCAGATTTAGCCATGAAATGCACAGCAGCAACCTCTTCTAGAAGGCCAAACATGGCCTATGTTGTAGCTAGGCTTAAGGAAGCATTAGCGATGGAGGCATCATCGCAGGATAGGAGCTATGAAATGTCTGTGCAAGCTAGTGAATCGAGTGAGAGTGAGACATCTGATGTTGCTCGTGGTGGAAGGATAAATCGAGTTGGTGGTCCAGCAGGAAGATGAGATGGAGGTAGTTTTCAATTGGCTTGCAAATATTTGAGATTTGCAAGTATAGGTAGTTTTCAAATTGTTTTTAAATGTTTTTAGGTTTTTTCAGTTCCAAATATATTGTGTTTTTGCCATTGAGACTTGGCTCAATAATGGAATGCGGTCGGAGATTAGGAAGGTCTCTGATTCAAGTCCTTCAACTAGCAAATGAAATGTTTAGCTTCTAAATGAATTGATGAATCTCGTCCTTCTCTCAGATAGAAGATTGCCGTGTGCTCTGCTCACTGTTCTAGTTCATCATCTGAACTCACATATAACGTTACTAGTTGCCCAAAATGTGAAAACTTGAAGGAGATTTCATTTGAATAACTACGGCTTCACTGATCTTGCAGACAAATTTGTTCACAGAAAACACATGTTACATCAAACGAGACATATATATATACTCAGATGAAACAAAAACGATTGCAGTTATCTTAGCATTACAGGGTAAAATTTGTGTCTATACTGCTGGTCTATCTCTAGCAGGGTTACTTGGGAAAAAAACTTAATCCAACATATTCTCTGCATAACACTTACAGCTGGAATGTTTCCAGTAAAGCAGTAAACGCTACGGTCATGCCAAATATTCCAAGTCTTCTGTTATCCCCACCTGCATTAAGAGAAAACAAGATCATCAAATTAGTATTTCAAGAAGAACCTGAAAACCCAAGTTATATAACAAGAAACGAATTGGATAAAGTCAAAGAAAACTTAAGCAAAATTAGGTGATCATAGAAAGCAAGCCACTTATATATTCTCTTCGATTTTTCATCGTCAAGGTTACGTGATATTTTCTTTCTTTCTTTTTAACATTTCTAGAGTCGATAATAAACATCAATTCTATTATATGACTTAGATGAGTAGGGACTTCAATTTTCTTTCATGTATCCATGAGAGTCCCACTTATGTAAAGAGTACCTTAAGCAAAAAATCTTGAAGACGATTGTCATTTTTACATTTGTCTGCTCATTAATAACAAATTAAAAATCCAACATAGAACAGGAGATAATGATATGTTATTTTTACTTGTAAAAAGAGTATCCACAAAAACAAAAAAAAATGTTGAAGAATACTTGTCATTTTCACATTTGGCAGCTCATAATAACTAGTTAAAATCCAACATGCAACACAAGAAATAAGGTTTAACTGAAATTTGAATCTATATAAAATACTAATTCTGTATCGCATATGATGGATCATTATGTAGCGAAACTCAATCAAATGCCAATGCCACCTCATAGGCATTTGGAAAATATGAGACAGCAAGAAGAAACAAACACAAGCAAAGAACTATTAAGGAATTTTGGACTTACCTCCCTGTACATGTGTTCTAGTTGCTCTTTAGCTTGTGGAAAGTTGGATGAACACCACTGCTGTACCGTAAATATGTTGTCTGATACACATCCAGATTAAAAGTTTAGAATTGTGGACAGCTAGAATAACCAAAACAATATAGATTGTGAGTTGTTAGAAAAACACCTGTCCATCTGTTGGCTGCTGAATGAGCAACATCCGTCGCATTTCCTGCCAAGCCAAATAGAAGGAAGGAAATATATAACATCCATTGACAAAGAGATGGGAACAAACAAAATACTACAAGAGAAGATTCCCAAAAAAAACAAATGCGTGCTATATTATAATCAAATCTCAATAAGATGGAAGTAATCCAGCAGCAAACAACATAACAGACTGCAGTTCTTACTCATAGCTTCAAGAGCAGCTGGGTCGTTATCAGCATAACTGGCCAGTTCTTCCTTTAACCAAATAAAAAGCATTTCATCATTTCAGTTGCCGGAAAACTTGAATGCACAACCAAGAAAGTGAGAACACTAACAAAGTAAAGCTACCTTCAGCTTCTTATGCTTCTGCTCGATAATCTTCAGTTCTTCTAGTGCAGCCTCTCGCTCATCCTGTGTATAAGTACATTGGGGTTTAGAACCTGTAAAGCATGTATAAGACGAGCTTGAACTGTCTCATGGCTCCTCTGATATTATATTCATTGGCTGTTCCTCAGACAAGATGAGCACCAAGAATGTTGTGTTGATAGGATATGGCATAATGAGAACAGACAGCCAGATATTGCTCCTACCTTGATTAAATATACTTCATTAATAATTTTATACAAGGGAATAAGCCTTGTCCATCGGTGGTAGTGCTTTCACTTTTAACAAGATTGAGCAAAATATTCAAATTGGGCTCTATTTCCTTCTAAAAATGGCATACTGCACTTTTATATTTCCTCCGCAAAACTGGGAAATTACATGGGTTTGCGTCAAAAGCTTGCCTTTCAAAGATTGGTACATAGATAGTTCCCTAGACATCTAAACAGGCAACTGGCGAGGACCCACAGGTATCATACAAAATGTTTATTGGAACAAATGCACAGACATACAACCTACTAACAGGTGCTAGGTTGGTTAAGAGTATAATGAAATGGGAGGTAAAGGGAAGGCAACAATAGATAACAATATTTGTCAAATAATAATAGACTTACAGATTCCTCTCTGCCTTTCTTCAAGCTGTCCCTCTGTTCGATAAGTTCAGCAAAACGCTTCCTGCTGTTCGAAAGATCAGCTTCTAGTTTAGAGTGAGCACTCCGCAGCTGTTCATGACATTCATTTCCAGAGAATAATTCAGGGTGCTAAACTGATAAGCATTCAAAAACATACACATTAGCTACCTTATTAAAGACAGAAACAAACCTGGTTCCCAGCACAACTAGGAAGACTCCAAAAGTATACCTGTCAAGAAAAAAAAGAACCACTATAGTTCCACTGCATGTATAAACAAGAAACTGTGTAGAGATACCTAATAAATTACACAGGCAGATTTATGGAGAGACGTAAAGCCAAAGCCCAAGAACTTTTAAACCTAGCTAGAAGATTTTGCAAGTTTGCAAATGCTTACACATCATGTATTCCTGAGTATGCATGAATTTCTGATGTTTGTCAGATGATCAAATTTGGATGAAGCAACATTTTTTATTTGAGTAATCATATGTTATACACTGAAATAAAAAGAAATTATTCTGAAAATAGTAACTCACAGAAGTGCCTATCTTATCTTTTAAAACAAGGTCATCATCCACTAGACTTTGTACAACATCCTTCACAGATTGGCTGATCACACCCTTCTTAGGACCCAGTTTCTCCAGCTCTTTAAGCTGGCAATCAACAAAATGCCCACAATGAATAAATGTGTAGATATGATTTTAAATTAAATAATAACAGGAAAGAAAAGAAGAAAAGGTTAACAAACAATGTTTACCATTTATAAAATTGTTAATCTAAATAAAAGCGAAGGAAGTCCTTAGTGTTGTTTCAGCACAAGCAAATTACACTTATTTAAAGTTTTACTACAAATTAATATTGTCGTGTTATAGTGCAAAATTTTAAAATATCTGATACCAACAAATATCAGCAAACCAAAATGATTATTAGAAAACAGTCATGAAGGACTATACAAACCTCTTACAACCAGAATGAGGTCATCCATGGCACAAAAGGAAGCAAGAAGTCTCAGAAACCGCTACCTACTGGAGATGAAAAGGTGACTCTGAAATGAGAAAGGAACAAATGACACATCGCAACTTCTTTTTTGGTCTCTCCTTATGATCAGTTGGGGATTACATATTCCCAGTAAGGTCCAGGAACTAGTTATCATGTGTGGAGACTGAAAGGGGTTGCTAAAGAACGAGAATGGTGGGTATGATTGAATTCTATCAGGACCTGTGAGCTCATCATACAATATGAATGCACGTCAGTACAACACAAAATCCTTAATTTAATTTATAAGAACGTTGTTAGACACTGATGGTAAACTATTACACCTACTAGATTCAACAGCACAAAAAAAGTCTAATTAAATATTTGAAATTTGGTAATCAAACATTCATTCTAATGGTGTGTGAAATAAATGATACAGAGGTTTACGTAAATGAAGAAACAGCAAGGTTTGAAAAAGATGACTAAAGATGAATATTAACGCCTAGGATTTGTTAGCACATTGCAAATTGAGAAAGCAATCTTCTTATCCAACACCAATAATCAACCATATGAGGAAACAGACTTTATTGTGTACTCACAAGATAGAAGTCCTGAGAATCATAAAAGATCTGCAGAATCTGCTCCCGCTTCTCTTCCAAAGAAAGACCCCTCTTCTTTGACTGTCACATAAGAAGTTAGGTTATAATTCACAGAAACACACCAATGCAACACAGAGAAATTGCTTGATGTGAAAGAATAAGGTGAAATAAATGATGATTAATGTCATGGCACTGGTATACCCTATCATGTTTTTGAGGCTACATGTCCCTTCCACCTCAACCATAGTGTTATCAGAGACATGTCAGAACCTTCACTGGGAAAAAAGTTACGAATATGAAATACAGGGATGTTTATTCTCTCAATTATTCGGGGGCCTTCAGTTCAAACGGCTATTTCTCTTTCCCAAAATAGCAGATCTGTGTATGCAAATGGACTGCACAACTTACAACTTGCCCATGAGAACTTCTCGAACTTATTTTATTTATTAGGGTTTGAAGGTAGGTGCAACTACTGGACCATCAACCATCTAAGTTAAAGTCCAAGTTGCAATATGGTGTTTTTGTCTCTATCAACATCAAACGCCAAAGTTTGGAAGCTGTCCCGATAAGCCAAACGCCTTGGTTACGGATTTGATATTTCCAAGATGCAAAAGACAATTTCTCTGGCTATAGGCAGTCGTGAAGGAGCATGTGAGTTGTAAAGTTACAATCCTGTGTATCATTGCTACCATATGCTTGTATATGCAACCTGTGTACACCTACTAAGGCCGCTCAGGGTACAGAATCTACATATTACAGTTATTAAGAGTCGGTAGGGTCAGGATAGATTTTTATGGGCCAGAACCTGAATCATTCTCCACACGCTAAGCCTAAACCCACTCAAGTATCGTATCTGGTTTTGGTTGCATTGCATGTTCAACCGGACCAAGTTTGAGCCTGATAAAAATCCTTATTAACGTCATAATCTTTATGGCCTTTCTCTTCCATTTCTTGTTAATTAAAATGTATAATCATCCATGTAAAGAAGAGGGGATAGAAAAGGAAATGTTTGAGGAACCTATGCTAATCATAACGTTTGAAGTAGATTTTGTGAGCACGGCTTTGAAGCCCACGCGGAAACCCCACGCGGAAACCAGGCCCACCCGATTTTTTAATCAATGTCAGGGTATATAAAGGAACAGTGTTCCTAGGTTTTGAGTGTGCAGGAGGTTTTGTGTTTCTTATTGCGGCTGCAGGCAGTGGTGCAAGGACTTGATTTTGGGAACAGAAGCAAGGACTTGATTTGCGGCTGGGGATTTCTCTTCGTGTGGCTGTGCAAAAGAAAAGGCAGAGGCTTTTTTAGGGTTGTGCATCCTTTTGTGAGAGTTTATTTGTATGAGGGATTTGAGAGTTTGTTTGAGGGTTTAGATTGTGAGTGATTGTAAACCCTAGTTGTATTCTCTCCCTCTATTAGTAGATCTCCCCCCTCCTTGCCCCGTGGACGTAGGCAATTTGCCGAACCACGTAAAATTGGTTGTATCGCTTTTTTTGTGTGATTTGTAATAGCTTTTAGGATCCCTCGACAGGTCAGTCCTAGAACTGATGAGAGGAAGAGCTGATATCTCACTTGGTTGAGATATCCGCTTCAGATTCTTGTCTCCTTGGTGAGACGGGAATTCTTATTGCTATCTGACTCTCTTGTTGTGCTGCCGAAGTGCTGCCGAAATTTCCGCTAGAGCCCAGATTTCAGATCTAGGGTTTTGGAGTTTGGTGGAGGAAGATTTTTTGTGTGAAGCTTGGTTCTTGGAGTTCTCGGCTTCGGTGGAGATAGCATTAGGAGTTGCCGTTGGAGATTTCGCTTTCCTCGTGTGGATAGGAGATCTATTTGGAATCCGATCTAGGGTTCAGTTGGGTGGTTCCTAATTCTATCAAATTTGTTCTTTCTCTACAATTTGGAGTTAGTTCTCAATGGGAGAAGAATGTGAAAGCAGCAAATCGATGGCGAGTACAATACAAGTTGGTTTTCAGAACACTAAGATTAGTGTGGTGAAGTATGACGGCAAAATCAACTTTGGTTTGTGGATGAGCGACGTACATGATGCGCTCAATGCTCAGAATTTGAAAGAAACCATCATGGTCCACGAGAGGCCACCTAAATATTAAGAGGCAGTATGGAAGAAAATGAATAGGAACGCTTGTGGGGTGATCAGGTCCTGTTTGAAACAGGAGCTAAAATATGATGTGATTGGGGTGACGTCTGCAATGAAGATGTGGAAAATTCTCAACAAGTATCTCACAAAGAGTGTTGAGAACAGGTTGCACTTGCTGCGAAGACTCTTCAGATTTCAGATGTCCAGAGGCACCTCGCTAGCGGCTCATGTGAACAACTACACTAAGTTGTTGTCAGACTTGGCGAATGTTGATGAGAAGATATCGGATGAGTACAAGGCGATTATTTTGTTGGGCTCCTTACCCGATGAGGAGTATGATACCTTCGTGCTCACTTTGTTGAACTGGAGATCTTCTATCAGCTATAGTGAAGTGACTAACGCTTTGACAAATTACGATTTGAGGAGGAAGGATAAGGAGACTTCCCGCGCTAGTACTTCAGGCGAGGCCTTGTCGACGAGAGGTAGAAGCCCATATCCGAAAGGTGGTAACAGAGGGAGGTCAAAGTCTAGAGGCCGCCACCAATTAACAAAGAACCAATGTGCATTCTGCAAGGAGCAGGGACATTGGAAGAGAGACTGCCCGAAGCTCAAGGAGAAAGAGAATGACAAGAAAAAGGGCCCGAAGGCCAATGAGGTGAATATTACGAAAGAGGATGATTCCGATGATTCGTGCTTTTCTCTACTGATTACTCCGGAGGTGAACCATGTGGATGCATCAGATTAGATGCTTGATTCCGGCGCTACTTTTCATGTGACCCCTAGGCGAGACTGGTTTGCATCTTTTGAGAAAGTCGACGGGGGCGTTGTTGTCATGGAAAATGATCAATCCTGTGGCGTTTGTGGGATAGGTACCGTGCGGATTAGGATGCACGATGAAGTAGTCCGTGAGTTGAAAGAGGTGAGATTTGTTCATCAACTGAAGAAAAATCTTATCTCAGTTGGAGCTTTGGAGGCGAAGGGATTCAAGGTGACTTTCGAAAACGCTGTCCGAGATTGGCCAGGTTGCTTCGGCGATTTCAGAGGCGGACATGAGCAGACTTTGGCACTACAGGCTAGGGCATACAGGTGAAAAGTCACTGCAGGCATTGTGCAAGCAGGGGCTATTGAAGGGAGCCAAGGGTGGGAAGATTGAGTTCTGTGAGCACTGTGTTCTTGGCAAGAAGACGAAGGTGAAGTTCGGGACGGCCATTCATAGGACGAGGGGCATCTTGGACTACGTGCACACAGATGTTTGGGGTCCCACTAAGACGGCATCACTTGGTGGTCGACATTGGTTCGTCACTTTTGTAGATGACTATTCTAGGCGTTGTTGGGTGTACACCATGACGAAGAAGAGTGAAGTCCTAGATTTGTTTGTGGAGTGGAAGAAGAGATTGGAACTGCAGACTGGGAGAAAGATCAAGACGTTGCGATCCGACAACGGTGGTGAGTATACTTCAGACCCCTTTTTGCAGCTAAGTCGAGACGAGGGCATAGAGAGACACTTCACAGTTAGTCATACACCGCAGCAAAATGGGATGGCAGAAAGGTTGAATCGGTCTTTACTGGAGAAGATCCGATGCTTATTGTCGCAGAGTGATTTGGAGAAGATCTTTTGGGCTGAGGTACTTACATATGCGAGCCACCTCATTAATAGGCTGCCTTCATCTGCGATTGAGGGGAAAACCCCTATGGAGATGTGGTCGGGAAAGCCAGCACATGACTATGACCAGCTCAAGGTATTCGGGTGCCCTGCATATTATCATGTTAGAACTGATAAATTGGAACCTCGAGCTAGGAAGGCCATATTTGTAGGATTCAAGCGTGGTGTCAAGGGATACAAGCTTTGGGATCCAGTGGATAAGAAGATTGTGCTGAGTAGGGATGTCACATTCGATGAGGCTTCTATCTTGAAGCTTCCCAGCTCTCATCAGGTGGAGAGCAACCCGACAGAGGAGATTTCGCAGGTGGTGGAGATTGATGCAGCTCCACAGAGTCCAGATAGTGCAGTATCCATGAGAGTGCCGACCGAGGTGACGCCAGGCGAGGATACGGGTACTGATGTGCAGGATCAGGAACCGACGGCCCAGGTTCAGGATTCTATTGCGGCTAGGAGACAGAGGAGAAACATACAGATGCCAGCACGGTATGCCGACACAGTTGCGTATGCACTTCCGGTGGAGAATATCGATGAGTTAGTGCCTACTACATTCAGAGAGGAGATGGAATCTCTTCATAAGAACGATACATGGGAGCTTGTTGAGCTTCCAAAGGGGCGGAAGGCAATTGGTTGCAAGTGGGTATACACGAAGAAGGAGGGCATTGAAGGCACTCCGTTGAGATTTAAAGCTAGGTTGGTTGCGAAGGGCTATGCATAGGAGGAAGGTATTGACTATAATGAGGTTTTCTCTCCGGTGGTGAAGCACTCTTCGATTCGGATTTTGCTAGCTTTGGTGGCACAGTATGGATTAGAGTTAGATCAGTTGGATGTGAAGACGGCATTTTTTCATGGTGATCTTGATGAAAAAATATATATGACTCAGCCATTGGGATTCCGAGCTGCAGGGAAGGAAAAATTAGTTTGTAAACTGAAGAAATCGCTATACGGTTTGAAGCAGTCTCCTCGACAGTGGTATAGGCGATTTGATGGTTTTATGATTGGTCATTCGTACACTCGGAGCCAGTTTGATCCTTACGTATATTTTCACAAGTTAAAAGAAGGTGCGTACAGTCTCCTCGACAGTGGTATAGGCGATTTGATGGTTTTATGCTTGGTCATTCGTACACTCGGAGCCAGTTTGATCCTTGCGTGTATTTTCACAATTTGAGAGGAGGTGCGTACATTTATTTGTTGCTTTATGTCGATGACATGTTGGTTGCTTCTAGTTCCAGGTCAGCTATAGATGAGTTGAAAGTTCAGCTTTCGAATGAGTTTGAGATGAAGGACTTGGGCGAGGCGAAGCGCATTTTAGGGATGGAGATCGGCAGAGACAAGAAGAAGGGCAAGATTTGTTTGACACAGGTGGCTTCTTTGAAGAAGGTTCTACAGCGATTCCATGTTAGCATGGATACGAAGCCAGTTGGTGTACCTTTGGGAGCCCATTTGAAGTTTTCAGCTGGTCTTTCACCGAAGTCAGTTGAAGATCGTGAGTTAATGTCGAAGACTCCATATGCGAGTGTGGTTGGGAGCTTGATGTACGCAATGGTATGTACGAGACCGGATTTGTTACAGGCGGTGAGCATGGTATCGAGATACATGCACGATCCAGGAGGGGGTCATTGGGACGCCGTGAAATGGATTTTGAGGTACATTCGAGGTACGCTCAATGTTGGTTTGGTTTATGAGCGGGACACTACAGGTGGGCAGCTATGCATTGGCTATGTTGATTCGGATTATGCCGGGGATTTGGATAAGCGCCGGTCTACTACGGGGTATGTGTTCACTTTGACCCGTGCGCCGGTGTGTTGGAGATGCACCTTACAGTCGACGGTGGCTTTGTCTACGACGGAGGCAGAGTATATGGCAGTTACGGAGGCTGTGAAGGAGGCTATTTGGCTTCGAGGACTTTTGGAGGAACTTGGTATATCGCGAGGTCCGTCGCTATTCATTGTGATAGCATGAGTGCTATCTATTTGGCGAAGAATCAGGTTTTTCATGCGCGAACGAAGCACATTGACGTTCGTTATCACTTCTTTCGGGATGTTCTTGAAGATGGCGATGTGGAGATTGTTAAAGTCCACACGAAGGATAATCCGGCGGATATGCTCACTAAGGTGGTTCCTAGCAACAAGTTTGATCATTGTCAAAACTTGTTGCATATTCGTGATTGTTGAGGCCGTTGGCGACCATTTGGATGAACTACGGGAGGCTTGATTCCTTAGACAAGAGGATACGTAGGCAGTCTTTATGATGCAGCCGGTTTGGATTAGTTGATGGGGTGAGATATTGGACTCTCGTTTGGGTTCTCGACTTGTTGTGGATTGATTTCGTATTGGACACAACACGTGGGACATTTGGATGCTTTGGTGTCGGCTCAGTTTTCTAATCATAACGTTTGAAGTAGATTTTGTGAGCACGGCTTTGAAGCCCACGCGGAAACCCCACGCGGAAACCAGGCCCACCCGATTTTTTAATCAATGTCAGGGTATATAAAGGAACAGTGTTCCTAGGTTTTGAGTGTGCAGGAGGTTTTGTGTTTCTTATTGCGGCTGCAGGCAGAGGTGCGAGGACTTGATTTTGGGAACAGAAGCAAGGACTTGATTTGCGGCTGGGGATTTCTCTTCGTGTGGCTGTGCAAAAGAAAAGGCAGAGGCTTTTTTAGGGTTGTGCATCCTTTTGTGAGAGTTTATTTGTATGAGGGATTTGAGAGTTTGTTTGAGGGTTTAGATTGTGAGTGATTGTAAACCCTAGTTGTATTCTCTCCCTCTATTAGTAGATCTCCCCCCTCCTTGCCCCGTGGACGTAGGCAATTTGCCGAACCACGTAAAATTGGTTGTATCGCTTTTTTGTGTGATTTGTAATAGCTTTTAGGATCCCTCGACAGGTCAGTCCTAGAACTGATGAGAGGAAGAGCTGATATCTCACTTGGTTGAGATATCCGCTTCAGATTCTTGTCTCCTTGGTGAGACGGGAATTCTTATTGCTATCTGACTCTCTTGTTGTGCTGCCGAAGTGCTGCCGAAATTTCCGCTGCGCGCAACAGATTTGACTAGGTCTTGTTCTTTTACATACACAAATTTGCTGCCGTAAAGGCATATGCATAAAGTCCTTCACAGTTGTGTCAATTTTCTTTTCATTGTCTCCACCTAATCAATAAAAGATATATAGTCCAAAGACGAGCGAAAGAATACAGCATAGTAAACAGATATATATAAAAGAAGTTAAAACTCAGAAAGTAGACAAATTCTTCCAACTTAAATAAAATTTTACTAAGTTACAAAACACCCCGACAATAGATAGATAGATAGATAGATAGGGCTTTCTCAATTACTCTCACCATTCTTAATTAACTCTGACCCTAACCCTAACCCTATCTATGGTGAAATTGGTGAGATTTTGCATCTTAAATCTTAAAATCTTCATCTTCACTGTAGCCAGCAATTAACACAGATCTCAAATGTCATTTTTCCCTTAGTTTTTTTTTTTAATCCCGAAGCTCAAAAATTAAGCGCAACCATCAGCAGAAAGAAAGAGAAAAGGACATCACAATCCAACAGAGGAGTCACGAATTTCCAATAAGCTCTCAGAAATTGCTCAAAGCAACATCATCCAAAACCCTAATTTTTGTGACATGATGCAATTAAAAGAGAAACGAAATCAGATGCAGATCTGAGAGATAAAACCCCTAAAGGATTGAATTTTTTTGGGGAAGATTACAAGAAATGATAATCAATCACAGTGATAATCGATTCGAGAGTAATAAATAAACGATCGAAGTTTACCATTTTCGAATTTCGAAAATTCGCAGAAGCGAGAAAACAACAACCGAAGCGAAGCCGGAGAGAAGAAGCGTGCCAAGAGCGCGGACTCGAGCGCAGACTCGCTGCTTTTGGCGGGAAATCGAGAAAATTCGTCGACGCCAGCAACACGTGAATCGTTTATTGCTCGTTGGGCCCATCTAGAATTAATGGGTTGGGCCTTTATACAATTAATCGGCGGATGAATGTTAGTTTGCTCAAGTGACAAAACTGGGCCATAGCGTGCTGCGGTCCTTTTTTTTTAATGAACAATGATAACTATAATACTCTCTCCTATTCGACTTTCACACTACAAGAGAAAAAAACATAAGCTCCTTAGAGAGTCATCAATTTTTTAGAAAAATTAAAGAAAGTGGACATCACACTTTTCTCTCTGATAGTTTAGAAGTAATGGTGTAGTTATCGCTAATGTTTTTTAAGACAGCCACCCCTAAATAGGCTCAATTTCACGTTATCATTTTCAATTACCAGGTTTTGAAAATACCATACGTATGCCTCATTTCGTCAAATATATAACCGTTTATGCTCGCTTTCTTCTAACTAGTGTGCACCA